TGGAGGTAGATCATGGGGGGGGGGGTGACCATATATATATATATAAGTATAATATGATATAATATAATAAGTTACCATGATAATATACTATAATAATACTAACAATAATACGAATAATCTTATTGATGCTAATAATGCTAGTATCATAGCAATGAACGAATGATGGGTTTCTCCAGCTCGCGCAAATCAAATCCATCAGACCGTGAGGCGCCATGAACGATCAAAGGCTTCTCTTGGTACAGGTTCAGTACTTGGTGCCCACTTTTACTACTAACAGTACACTGGCTCCACGTCCTGCACAAACTCGCGGACCCGCGACTCCAGCTCCACGAATCGCTTCTGCAACTCCCTCCGCACCTCTCCGCAAGCGAGAAATTGTTGTGAAATTATGGCAACCTGGAGTCAACCTGCTGCGTAACTGCGGTAGCATCAGTGGTACTAGCTGGCGAGGTCGGTTGAACCGGATGTGGCTTGGGATTGCTGTATGGCAAGTGCCTTCGTTGTGCCATTGAGCGCTTGTAGACCACTGATTAGAAAGGGCGGGGATTGTTCTTGGCTTGCCCTCTGAATGGGCTCCTTGAGGGTCTCATCCTCCTCGCTGGCGGCAGCTTTCCGAGCGTTCTCCAACTGAACGGCGACCTCGCTTCAAGGTGTGGTGAAGTTTCTTAAAGAATCGATGAAAGCGCAGTGTAACGGCAATCATGATAGAACAATTGCGAGTGTTAATTGCAGAGGTATGAAACCTGTCGGATCCGTGTTACATCTGTCCATAGCCTTGCCCCATTTTTTCATACCCCAAATGTAGAACCAGCTCTGCATTGGTTCGGAGGCCCTGATAGCTAGCTACAACTCTTGCTGCTCGCTTGTGGGCGCAGGTTGTGGATGTGAAAAGCAACAGTATCGGTACACTGCAGTCGGCATTTCTCTCTGGACTCGCAACTCCATCACACAATAAAGGGGGCTATACAGGGAATCTCAACTTTAAGTGACAACATAAATTCTGACTCCCTTAAAGAGGCATCATGTGGAGCATCTGTTGCAGCTTTAAACCACCGTGGCGGGGCGTGATTGGGTTGAGATTACCAAGCAAGACACTTTTTCCTTGCATCCAGTCTGAGCTGTTAGGGAACGGCAAAGAGCTCTGGGTTTGGTTGCATTCAGACCTTGGCCAGAAGCTTGCCCGCGCGAGCCGGAAACTGTTGGGGAACGCCGGGAGCTTACTGCTTCGGCCGACCCGCGTCAACATCAAAAACCACTATCTGGAATCTCATCGGTCCCCATTAATCTATGACGCTGATCAGCAGTACTGCGCAAACAATGCTACTGCCTCGGAAGCAGCCATCAAATTCCTGTTTCAATCTGTACGAAACGATCCCTGAAGGCTTTTTGCGATGGAATCACAGCCTCATACTTTGATCCATGTACCAGTGTCATGGAAGTAAACTGGCTTCTCCAAAGGCACAGCAGTGTCTCTAGCAAGAAATGCGCGGCAAGTGGTCTTCGGAGTTACAATGGAAGCCGGAGTTAGGGTTTCTGTGGGGCTGACCACCAGATTCGGAGATACATATCTTAATGCAAGCAATATCTCACTGCAATATCATCCACTCCCCACAGAGATGCACGATCTCCCCTGTTTTGACCAGTCCCCTTGCCCATGCTTGTGATCACACCACATCCAACTCCCTAGGCAACACCATTGAAATCCCCATGCGTGTTCAACTTCTAAGCATCCAACTCACTAAAAGCACCTGCCGCAGCATCCGAGCTCTAAATGAAGGGAACTGTCGCAGTCTGGATTGGGCCCAGCAACCGGGGGTGGCAGCAAGGGTTCTCTAGAGAGTTGCTCCCTGATGGTCGCAGCTTCTCGGAGCCTTGTTCTTTGGGATCAAAAGCCAAGCCTGAGTCCAGCCCTCTACCTTGACCTCCCTTTACTCATGCCGCCACAACCCAGCATCTCGAAGGTTAATTGGGTTGTAATAACCTGGAAGAGAAACCAACTGTTACAGGGCTATCAAGGGACGCAGCAAAATAGTTATGCGTGCTTGTTTCCATCATACTATGCTCACATACCTGAAGCAGCCTTCTCATCTGAGTCCCATCATATCCCTGCCAGGATGGCCCCTTTGAAGTTACCCCAGAAGGTTCTTCCCCCTGAGGTAAGATGAAGCCAAGGTTGAAGTTGGCTGGTGGCACGCCACATTCTGCAGTTCCACCAATGTACTTTCCCGCTTTTTTCCATGGGGTGAGAGCCCAGGTCTAAGGGTTCACGAACTTATAGCCTGCAATTTACGTACTTCAAGCAGTATGACAAGTCTCGAGCATTGATAACGTCAGCCCTCCAAAAAGTCCAGCTTCCTGTACAGGTGCTCGGTGCGTCTTTTTTTGTCATGTTCTTGGACTCGTCCCATACGTGAGCAGCGACGGCGACGCAACCGCGAGTAAGGACTAAGGCTAAGGCGGGATGTTAGAGCATTTTTTTTTTGTGTGTGTCTGGCGTGTTTACATTTGGCAAAAAGGATGCGTGCTTGACAAGAATATGATATGCCTGATCCAACATCGTTTAGTCTAATTAATACAGCTAGATAGATGCATGAAATCTAATCATGCAAACGTACTGTACACATTTGTATGTTCAAGGTCGTGCCGCAAAGTTGCTCAGAACCTCCGTCTGCTGCAAACTTCCAGAGCAAGCGCAGACTTGGAGCGCTCACTGGGACATGAGGACCAAACGCATGCTGCGCACCAAGTCTCCATGAGACATGCATTGGGATTACCAAGGTCATTGCAGCTTTGCTCTTGCGCTATCTACGCGGCCACATTTACCATCTAGTGTCGAGAGAACGGAGTCGGGATGACTGCTTTGTGTCTTCAACCTGAATTTGCCCTCAAAAATCTACCCCAGTCAGCCAGGACCCCTTGCGCGCTTGTGTTGAAGACTGTGCTTAATAACTAAGTGGACGAGTTAGGGATTACTTCATCTTGGCAGTCTCTTTGACATTGCAAACAAGTAGGCTTCCTGAAACAAAAAACCGCGAGCCAAATCTATGTGGAACGTCAAGTATGTCAGGACCTTCAGACCTTTGCGCTAAATTCTGCACTATTCAAATTGCGAGAGCATGCCCCTGGCTGCACATAAGCCTCCTCTACTTCTACAATAAAGAGAGAAGCCAGAACGAAGTTCTCTATTTGCATTTTTCCAGCTAATTGAGGCCGCAGGCGGCAAATCACCGAATTTGCATGAGCATGTCTGCTAACTCTACGGGCCCTTCAGCAGGACACAAGTTTGGAACTCCTTTCCAATGCACGGAGGGCTTCTTTGCAAGTCATGTGGCTGTTTGTCGTTTAGGCTGACACTATGCTGACACTCCTGGGGCCACGCATCTATTGACATGAATTCAATCTGCGCATGCTGTCCTGGCAGGGCGCTCGCCCAAGTAGTCCAGGATTTGTTCCCAAAGCCCTGGTGCCAAATCGACCCTGGCGTGGCGAAGCAACTTCTTCTGCGCAGCTTTGAGACTGACGAACCGTGGAGGTTGGAAGAACGAGGGAGCCAAAAGCTTCAAACATTCCATACAAGTGCAGGAGTGGCTGCAGAAAAGCCAAGGGAATGCGGTCTCAGGTGGTCCAGATGACCCCGTGAGTTGGACCCTTGAACGGGACTCTCTTGTTGCTTTCGGATTACTGAGTGACAAAATGTGTCCAAGAGCCTTGTTTTCTTTTAATAATGGCGCGGCTATGGTGAGGAATCTTTTGAGAAATTGCCGACTGCGCAGCTCGCTTGGCTGGCTTCTCGCTTGTGGTTTACGTAGATGATGTTAGCCTGCGACCCAGAAAAGGCGGCATGTGCGGGCAAAACACGTCAGCGGCCTGTTGCACATCTGGCACAGTGCAGACACCAGGCGCCTCAGCAAGATATCTGCATGTAAGAATTGAAGAGTAGCCACATTGCAGAGTCCCAATACATTCATCACCAAGTTGGGATAGGAGTAAATTGCTGAAGATGAATTTCAGAGCGGCTTCACAACCTCGGCTTCTTGTACTGGCCTGATATCTGGCGTGTGCACGCGCTAGAGTCCGCTAGAGCCAGCAAGCGACACAAACCGAACCTGAGCTGGACGGTGCCGAGTAAGCTCCCTGCCCACGGCGGTGATGGACAAAGAGTTGGAGAGGAAGCTGGTACCTCTTTCTCTCGCATCAAGGCAGAATATGCATGTACATCCAGAAGCACTGCCGCCTACGTTCGCTGAAAGTGCGGGGGATTAGTCGAGTTCACAGAACCTTTGCGGCGGAATGAACCGCGAAGGGGTCCGCTGAAAACTACGGGGTTCAGAGAACTTCAGCTCAGCATTGTGGTTTCGGCTCACCTTCAGGGAGTGTACCGATGCGACGTACATTTGACTTTTTGTCTCACGCCGTGAATGCCGCCTCAATGTTCCGCCGCATCTCCTGACTGAGTAGGAGCAAAAGTCAAGACTCTCTGTCTTCGTTCAACTTCAAAGCCAGCAACTGCGAAGCCTAACTTGATTGCACGAAGTCTCAGGAAAGCATCCCCAGTATTGACTCTGATGAAGACGGGCGGTGTTATGCTCGCTAGAGGCGATAAGCTCTAGCTACTTAGCTGCGTGCAGCGCAAGTGAAAAAATAGCAGGGCCCCCAAACAGCAGAACATACTGGACGCCTTAGCATCCCAAACCACGCAAGCCCCCCAAATGACAGTCGTAAAAACATGATTTACAGTAACGAGCAGGCTGTGAAACCCCAACCTTTGGAACTGCGCAAAACTTCCCGCCTCGGTGGGATCCCCAGGGAGGCCCTCTTTGGGCAATTCTCCGGGCCGTGACGCCACGGTGCAGAGGCAATCTTTGGCAACCTGCTGCAAGATACTTTGTCTCGGGAGGTGTGAATGCGCGGTCTCCAGCCGTAAAACTCTGGGACTCGTTGTAAGGAATTCTGTATTGGCCCAGAAGGCCTAAGCCCCGTAGGGAAACCAGGTTAAGCTTAGGGATCAAATGATAATTTCAAGTGGTCGTGCCGCTTTTCGTACCCTGAACCTCCCATATGCGTGAGACTAGGAACCCCACTTGTGTCCCCAAGACCATGCAACTTTGATTAGAAGACTGAAGAAGGAACAGGCTCCTACAAATAGTTTGAGACACTGCGCTGTTCCGCCTCTAGAAGGCGCTGGTGGAGAGACTCGGTGCCACCATGTGCCACCCATAAGGTATGGGTCAACCGACTCCTGTTCGAGCTGCAGGATTTGGATGGTGCCAGATTGCTCTCACAGATTATTTGGGCTTGTACGAACTTCTATGCTGTAATGAAGGCTCGTGACTGTCCACAGCCTTGCAATGCAGGCCAATTTGTGAATCACGCTCAAAACAAGGCTGAGACTCAGATTCCCCTCCTGGATCTGGCTTTGGCGCGGTTCTCCGTTGGAGGAGCAGGTAGTGGCGATGGGGTCTTGAAGTTGTACTTCTTCGGCGGAGCTAGAAAAAATGGCTGCAGTGTTGGTGGCAATGCCTTGGCAGTGTTTACAAAGAGATCCCTGAAGATCTCCTTCACGGGCAATATCAAGAACCATGGCTTCTCACTCTTGACTGCAAAGTCCAGGATGAATGAGAAGTGCTCCTCTGCTGAGAACGGTGGGTTCGTGACAAGCACGTCGAACCTCGGGACGTGCCCCTCTTCGCAAGCCTTGTAGAAATCCTCGTTCTCATTGTATACAGTCTCGAATCCCAGTCGTGAGAGCCGCTTCTTCACGCCACCTTGACAGTAATAGGGATCATAAATCCGCAGGCCTTTGGATGCTACCCTCCAATGCTGATCTGGGGATGTCGCTGTAGCGATCTCACGTAGCATTGGCGTTATGTGCCTGTAAGCAATGCCCGGGGTTTCGCAATGGTCTCCGAGATCAGCTTCGAACGCAAAAGGCTCAAGTTCCTTTTTCTTCGGCCTAGCGCACAAAGCAGTCTTCGTATAAGGAGGAGACCACCCGGGTCGGGTCACGAAGCAAAACAGTCCCAACTCCGCGCAAGCGCACGCAAGTAGGGGTACAAGCCGGATCCTTTTGTCTTTGCGCCGCCAATAAGCAGTTCTTGTGCAGAGCTCCATTGCGTTTGCCTAGCTCAACATGACTACACATGTAAATTTCGGGTTTATTCCGCACAAAATCTTGCAAAAGGATGTGGACCTACTACAACTCTACATTGCTGACTGCAAGCAAGCCCTCTGGTTATAAACTCAACTCTCACATATGCAGGATCCAAGGACACAAATGTGCTCATGACCAACTTCATTCGCAACTTCCCAAATTCAACAACTTGGACATGGAATGCTCTCTGAACCTCATGAGCTCCATCAAGTTTGCAGATCCGAAGCGGCTACAGCACCACGGTCTAAAACGCAACGGATTTTGAATTCCAGGGATTGTTGGGAACTGTGAGAGGAAACATTGCAAAACTAAGTAAAACTTACCCTAAGCGCAGAGTGTGTCTGAACAAGGCCTTCTCGAACGACTCAACTATTCCAACTGCAGCATGTTCGTCATATAGCTTGGCCTGCATAAGGTGAATTGACCGTGGCCCATCTGATCCCTACACAACTCCCACGGCACAGCCTCTCCCTTCCCAAATACACCCCGCCAAAAGGACCTTTGATGAATCACGCTTTCGGCTCGCTGGGTCACTGCAGCTTGAACAGCGGGTTCAGGGAATTGCGATGTCGGCCACGGCCTTCGGGAAGCTGAATGGTCTACACATGTCAAGTTTAAGCTGCTGTCTACTGATACCGTAGCTTCGTGCTCAGCATGGCAAAAGTAGCCCAATGGAATTTCATGATGCGTCATCCTTTTGATCCCAAGGTTCGCTTGATGGCAGCGTGGCAGCCATGGCGAGGCTTTGCCTCCCTCTTCCGCAAAGCCAAATGCTACTAGTGACCCGGTTGCCAAAAAACAGTTCGGATGCGGAATGCGTCTGTCAAACCGTCCCCCTTAATCGCTTTTATTCGTCGCTGTTTGGCGGTACCCAGATTGCTAGACACACACACACACACACCTTATCACTGCCGCTTAGGTTCTACACGCAACCTTGCAAACAACGACACGGCCCTGCGGTCCCAACAAGTACTTGCAGATAGCTATTGGTTCCCATCCACAGATGCGCAGGTGGCAATATAGTTCGTAATATGCTCCACTGGGTCCCGAGCCAACCACGGAGCCACCGCCTGCCACACCCGGAGCCCAGTCACTGCCTTGCAGACTCTCATTTCGTATGCGCGGTTGTCAAAAAAGTGTACTAGGGATATGGGGCTTACATACGCAAGGATCATTCTACTGTATGGGGCTAATTTTGCCAAATCAAACAGCAGCAGTGGCGGGGTTCTCCAGATTTTAATTTCCGCTTGTGCACCCATACCATTTTGAGCTTTCATTCCTCCTAGTATGTAGCATTCCATGACTTTGGCGGAATTCGATTTTGAGACAAGGCCACATTATGCCACATTGGATGATATCTTATGACAGTGAACAATTCAAGCAGAGTTCTTCTGCGCCAAGGTTTGGAAAGGTATCTGAGGCCAGATCACACCGGCCAGGAAGATGTGAAAGAAGGATCCTGTCATGTCTGCAGACGTGTCATTCAACCAGTATGTCCGTCATGTGAGGTGGCATCAAAATTGCTTCTTTGGCCTCTCTTGGTTTTGAATTCGGGCGTCCCCCATCGATTTCCACGTTTGGGGGATTTTTCTCTTAATCCTAGCGTAGATGAATTAAGCCTATAGTCTTAGGACGTCCTCTATCGATCTTGGTGATTTTTGCTCAGCAACTGCAACCTAAACTAAAAGAAGTAAACAGTAATTTTGACCGCGACTCATGTGCGCGAAGACCCGAAAGGAGCTTCTGTGACTTGATTTGGCTTGTAAAGACAGCATTCTAAATTATGAACGGTAACCTCTATGAAAACGGCGGGTTTCCTAAAATTAGGGGTACCTTTCTGGGTCTCCCCATAATGAGGACTATAGTATTTTGGGGTCTATTCCCCCTGTTTGGGGAAGTGCTAACTATCCGTTGCTGGCCATCGGCCAGTAGCTTACCCTTTCAGGGGCCCGCGCCAGCTGTCCAAATGTCTCTGAGCGGAAGATAATGCAGTCGCCAACAGCCGCTGGCAGCCTGGCACACGAGCCATAGTCTGAACTTTTTTTAGCGTCGCCTTTAATAACCCCTATGTTATTCCCCCATATCCCCCATATAACCCCCCTTTGAAGGAGTTTAGACTACAGCTCACATTACGAAACAATGCAAGGAGGCCTGAAGACCTGAACCTGAACCGCCTGGGATAACGAAGAACCCCAGACCCCCTCCCAGTGTCCAATGTTGCAAGCCAGCCGCCTTCGGTTGACTGTGCCTTCTGCTTCAGCCTCGCCATCGACAGACCTAGCACGGAGTTGGATGGGATACTCAGTGTCGCAAGCCAGCCGAAGCTGGTAAAGCCACCTCGTTTTTCACCCTTCTCGCAGTTTCTTACAAAGCCTGCTTCCTGGTCATCATCTGCGTGCCTGCAATGCTGGTCCCAGGACCGCAAGTCAAACCATACAGCCAACTTGTGGCCGATTTTTCAGGCTCTGCGGCATGCTCCCAGAATTGCAGGTGATGCCGCTTATCTAGGCGCACAATGCTGCAAGCAGCACAGGTATCTGAATAGCCAGACTTAGATTGCGAGCTGCTGAAACATTATAATGGTATCGCCACCGCCACAACAACCACCGCCGCTGTCATAGACGACTTCCAGAAACGTAGCAAAGCTTTTGGGGAACATAGGGTTTAGGGCTTTGGGGTTTAGGGATATTATCCCCAATAGTCATGGAGAATCAAATGGAAAAGAACATGGAAAATGACATGGAAACTTGGGTTATAGGGTAGTTTATGGGGGTTACATTGTATCGCCCTCACAGCCTTGGACTATCGACTGCTGGGATATAGGGTATAGTATAGGGGTACTATAGGGATAATGGAAAAGAAGATGGAAACTACTATATTGGGTTTTATAGGGTTTAGGGCTTAGGGTTGTGGTTATACAGGGATAATGGAAAAGAACATGGAAACTACCATATTGGGGTTATATTGGGGTTCTATATGGTTCTATTATGAGGCGTGGCTTGGACTAGTGGGGCGATGATTAAGTTCAATCAGAACTCTTCACATCCATGGACTAATGCGGAGTAGCCTGGACTAATGGGAACGATCCTTGGAAAGAGCGGGGGGCCAGGGTAAGGTTAGGGGCTATACGTAGCAGTTGGGGGCATCTAGGACGGGGGATGCCCAATACTGGCAAAACCTGAGCCAGAGTCCAAACTCCTACTATCCTCCTCAGTAACCCCTATAATACTCCCCAATATAATCCCCCTATATTTGCCGCCCTTTAGGGCGTTTAGACCCTAGACCCTAAACCC